TATTCTTGCTATGTGTGTATTAACAATGCACACTCTTGCATATTTTTAATATATAGATTCAGTAAAAAAAAAATATAAGGGAGGATAAAGGTTGAGTATTCTTATCTCAAGAGCTTTTACAAACAATTCTCAACACTAGTTTTGAATTGGTAACCGCCAAGCAAACCTCTCATCTTCCTCTCTTTTTCCTTTCTTTTTCTCCTCTTTTTTCTTTTGCTCAGCTGGGTGTATGTAATGGAAGGGCTGAATAGTGCTCTTAGTTATAGGAGTTTGAGGACCTATTTTATTTTTATTTTATTTTTTTATTTTTCCTCTTGGCTTAATTATTATCTACAAGCATAGGCTTAGAGTGTAAAGGTATGCATAGGCTTAGAGTGTTAAGGCATGCTTGTCCACGATTGATGAGGTTGTGTGTGTTGTTGGAGAAGCATGCTCTTACATATGCATGCACAACAAAGCCCAAGGAAAGACCTTGGAAAGAGGCCAACCATTCTCTATGCCTTATTTTTTTTGTGTGTGTGTATATATATGATTTTGAGTCACTTTAATATTATAATATTATTTTATGTAACTAAAAGACATGAGATTGAACCAATTAATCTCCATGGGTTAATTTTCATGTGCACAAATTATTAATGCAAAACTTTATACAAAATAATATATATTAAGAATTAGATTTGTGTAGTTATAAAAGTGACGACGACGACGATGATGACGACAACAACAACAATAATAATTCTAATAATTAAAAGTTAATTATAGAATTTCGTCACAAAATGTTATTACAAAATTGGATTATGGATGTTGATTAAAAAATTTAAGTAGCTAAATATAATTACCAAAATAATTTAATATGCAAAAATACAGGTTCTCACAACCTATCCCCCTTAAAATAATTTCGTCCCCGAAATTTTAACGCATGCCTTTATCTTCAAACAACTGAGGGTAGTTGGCTCGTATTGTATCCTCTCTTTCCCAGGTAGACTCCCCCACTCCTCGGTGCTGCCACAACACTCGCACCAAGTGGTTGACTTTGCCTCTCAGGTTCTTTTCTCGTTGATCCATAATCTTTATAGGCATTTCCTCAAAGTTTGCATCTTTATTGAGATCAAGATCTCCCAAATTGATAACATGGGATGGGTGTGGCTCATACTTCTATGACATTGAGATGTGAAAAACATTGTGCACTACTGCGAGTTGTGGTGGTAGTGCTAAACGGTATGCCACTTCTCCTACTTTGCTCAGAATTTCGAAGGGTCCCACATAAAGAGGTGCAAGTTTTTGTTTCTTTCTGAATCATGTAGTACCTCAATGAGGTCGAACTTTGTGAAAGGCATGATCCCCTACCTCAAACGTTAAGGGTTGTCTCCTTTGATCCGCATAGCTCTTTTGTCGAATTTGGGCTGTGATTAATCATTGTCTGATCAATTTTATCTTCTCAATGGTCTCCTGAACCAAGTCTGGTCCTAACAAGGTTGCTTTTCCTACTTCAGTCCAACAAGCTGGTGATCGAAAAGGTCGCCCATAAAGTGCTTCATATGGTGCCATTCCAATACTGGCCTAGAAATTATTGTTGTAAGCGAACTCAACGAGAGGTAAGTGTTTCTCCTAACTTCTATTAAAATCCATAATGCAAGCTCGAAGCATATCCTCCAAGGTTTGTATTGTTCTTTCAGACTGCCCATCGGTTTGTGGGTGAAATGCCGTGCTAAAGCATACGTTCATTCCCACTGCCTTTTGCAAGCTCTGCCAAAATTGAAAAGTTAATCGAGAATCATGATCAGACACGATGCTAATTGGTACTCCGTGTAATCTGATCACTTCTTTGATGAACAATCTACTAAGTGAATCTAACGTATCTGATGACCCGACAGGTAAGAATCGGGCTGTCTTAGTTAGTCGATCTATCACTACCCATACGCCATCATGTCCCTGTAGTGATCGAGGAAAACCTGTCACGAAATCCATGGTTATGTGTTCCCAATTCCACTCCGGGATTGGTAAGGGTTGAAGTGTCCCTGCCGGTCTTTGGTGTTCAGCCTTTACTTGTTGACATGTTAAGCACTGTGACAAAAACTTTGCTACATCCCTTTTCATTCTGCCCCACCAATATTGGCATTTTAGGTCTTGGTTCATCTTAGTACCTCCTGGATGTACTGCGAATACTGAATGGTGGAATTTCTTAAGTACCTTTTCTCTTAGTGAGTTGTCGCTTGGCACGAACATTCGACCTTGATATTTCAAACTTTCGCCTGTGTGAATTCCACAACCAGGCATGGTTTCACTAGACTCCATTCGTGCCTTGATGAATGCTACCTTCTGATCGTACTTTTGTGATTCTAATATCTCGCTCAAAATTTTAGACATAGCAATCAGAGCACCAAGGTAAGCCTTTTCATCATGAACCTCCTATTTGTACCCCAAATTCATTGAGCGTTCCAACCATATTTCATTCTCTAAGTGCTAAACTAGAAACAATCCCTCTATTCTTGCGACTTAGCACATCTGCCACCACGTTAGCCTTGCCGGGATGATAGGAAAGGGTAAATTGGTGATCCTTAAGATATTTCATCCAGCGTCTCTGACGTATGTTCAAATCCTTTTGGCTGAACAAATACTTCAAGCTTTTATGATCGGTGAATATCTCAAACTTTTCACCATACAGGTAGTGTCTCCAAATTTTGAGGGCGTGAACTGTAGCTGCTAACTCCAAGTCATGAGTGAGATAATTCTTCTCATGGTTCTTTAATTGCCTTGATCCATATGCCACCACCTTGCTATTTTGCATCAATACGTACCCTAGACCTTCTTTGGAAGCATCACAATACACATTGTACCCAACGTCTTGTTCTGGTACAACGAGAATAGGGGCACTCGTCAATCTTTTCTTGAGTTCTTGGAATGAATTTTCACAAGACTCATTCCATCCAAACTTAACTCCTTTTCAAGTCAAATGTGTCATTAGTTTGGCCATTGGTTTGGCCAATTTTGAGAAGTCTTGAATGAATCTTCGATAATAACTAGCCAATCCTAAGAAACTACGAATCTCGAATGTGCTCTTAGGTTGCTTCCATTCTATAACTGCTTCTACTTTAGTTGAGTCCATTGATATTCCCCTTTCAGACACCACGTGACCCAAAAACTTTACTTCCTCCATCCAGAACTCACATTTACTAGCCTTAGCATATAGCTGGTTCTCCCTTAAGGTTAGAAATACTATTCTCAAATGTTGTTCATGGTCTTCTTACACCAAAATATCATTAATAAAAACTACCACAAATTGATCTAAGTAAGATGTGAATATTTTGTTCATTAAGCTCATGAACATGCTTGGTGCATTGGTTAGGCCGAATGGCATCACTACGAACTCATAGTGGCCGTAACAGGATCGAAATGCAGTCTTAAGAATATCTTCTTCCCAAATACGCAATTGGTGATACCCAGGCCTGAGGTCTATCTTTGAGAAATACTTTGCCCCTCTAAGCTAATCGAAGAGGTCATCAATCCTAGGAAGTGGATACCGATTCTTAATGGTGATTCCATTGAGTTGTCAATAATCAATGCACAACCTAAGTGTTCCATCTATCTTTTTAGCATATAAGGCTGATGCTCCTTACGGGGACGTGCTTGGCCTTATAAATTCCTTGTCCAATAATTCTTGCAACTGTGTCTTTAGCTCTCTCAGTTCAACTGGTGCCATACGATGTGGTGCCATTGAGATCGGTGATGTATCAGGTTGTAGTTCAATGGTAAAGTCTACTTCTCGCTTTGGGGGTAGTTCTGGTAGTTCCTCTAGAAATACATCAACATACTTACACACCACACAAGGTAGCCCCAGTTCCATACGATCTTTATCTTCCAGAACTAAGCTGGCTAGCCATCTAGCCAGGTGATTGTGTTATTTTGACTTTCAAAGTGTCGATGATAGAGAATCATGTTTATCCCCTTTAAATTGGAATCACGTTTCGTCTTGAGGGTAAGTAGTCACTGTCTTTCGATAGCAATCAATGGTGGCTCTATGGGCTGATAACCATCCATTCCAAGGATAACGTCAAAGTTTGACATTTCCATGACTCGTAGGTTGCAAGTTAAACGCAAACTGGAGACTTCTAGTTCACATGATTTGAATACGAGATCTATTCGAGTTTGACCTCCTAGTGGTGAAGCTACACTCATAGGTGTTCCTACACGTTCAGGCTCTAATCCCAAAGTTGTAACACATAAAGCAGATATGAAAAAGTGTGATGCTCCAGAATCAAACAAGACTTCTACACAAGAGTTCATAAGGATGAGTATACCTTGAATCACCGTAGGATTTCCAGCATCTTTTCCTTTTTGGAGTGCAAAGACTCTTCCGGTGGCACCCTGATTTGGCACCCAAGATTTCCTTGCATTGGCATCTCTTGGTTGTTAAGTCCTCGATTGTCCCACATTTCGATTAGCTGGCAACTAACCTCTGCCGGTTTGGGAATTTTGAGCAACTCGTGTTCCCTAAGTTGGCGCGCATTTGTTTCGTTGAGTGGCTCCCCCTTGATTGATATAGTAGCCTAACCTTTGAGGATAGTTGTTCCTAAAATTCCCTTCTTGGCCACATTCGTAACATCTTCTAGCCCCTTCTACATTGTTCAAGATTGTACCCTTGCTGTTGTTGCCTGATTTGGCACCCAAGATTTCCTTGCATTGGCATCTCTAGGTTGTTGAGTCCTCGATTGTCCCACATTCCGATTAGCTGGCAACTAACCTCTGTCGGATTGGAAATTTTGAGCAGCTCGTGTTCCCTAAGTTGGCACGCATTTGTTTCGTTGAGTGGCTCCCCCTTGATTGATATAGTAGCCTAACCTTTGAGGATAGTTGTTCCTAAAATTCCCTTCTTGGCCACATTCGTAACATCTTCTAGCCCCTTCTACATTGTTCAAGATTGTACCCTTGCTGTTGTTGTGGCCCCCTAGCATAGGGTACCGAAACAGCAGGGGTCTTATTGTTCCTTGAGGGTCTTCTACTTCTTTGCTGGTTGGCTCTGGACTGTTGACCATGAGTTCTTGCAGTGTCCATCTTCTTTATTTCTAAAGTAAGAGCCCTATCTACTACACATGCATAAGTAGGTAGTTGCACTGTAACCAACTTGTCTCGGATTCTCGAGTCAAGTCCCCATTCAAAGCGCCTTACTTTGTCTGTTTCATTTGCCACTATAACTGTGGCATGGCGAGAAAGGGCCTCTAATCGATTGGTATACTATGTCACAGTCATGCCCCTTTGTTTCAGTTGGAGAAATTCTTAGATCATCTCCTGCCTTACCGAGTTTGGGAAGTACTTTTCCATAAACAATTCCTCGAACTGTCTCCAAGATAGTTCTGCCACTTGACGACTTTCCTTAATCATTGTCCACCAGAAATCAGTCTTCCCGTCAAAGAGAAATGAGGTGAGGGACATTTGGTGCTGCTCGTTATGAATTTCTAGCGTATTCAATATTTTCTTCACTTGCCTTATCCATGCCTCAGTTGTGTTGGGATTGGGTTCTCCAAAAACATTTTGGGGCCTGAGTTTTTGAAATTTTGCTATTAATTCTGCTTTGTTGTTTTCATGCCTGGGTTGGTTTCTTAGTTCATTAGTAATTGTCCGAACAAAGTTCATGATGTCACTGTTGTTGTTGTTGTTGTTATCGTTGTTGTTGTTGTCATTGGATCCATTTCCCCTAGTTCTTCCTGCCATTTTCTGTACGAAGGATATTGTTGTTACACCCTCTATTTATTTATTTGTTATTATTATTATCATTATTTATTTATTTATCTATTTAAAGATAAAATGCATGTAAAATAGTCCAAGTTGAACACACAAACTTTTAAATACTAGGATTTCATTAATAATAATAAAAGATCAGTACATTCAGGAAAAAAAATTTAAAAAAAATAAAAATAATCATTCCACCCCTTCCTATCTCATTGCGGTATTTTTGCCAAAAATCCTAAGTTAGAAACTAGGACTATTACAATTAAGTACTACAAAATTTGTTGTTGTCCTAACTTCTACACTTGCCATCTCCTAACCAAGCAAGTGGGCACAACGTTGACACACTGTCTCCTCCAACTTCCATGCCTCATCGAGTAGTCTATAACATTCCCAACGGACAAGGACCATCCTCACCTCATTCTGACACACCATTCGCTTAATCACGCAAGTGGGGATCTCACGATATGTGGTAGCTCTATAAATAAATTCACCAATGGGTCTAGGGTTTAGACAACATGACCGAAAGGAGGTTGGGTAGTTCGGATATCTTGGAGCAGAAATGCATCACCCTTGTTTACGACGTACTGTGGTGGTAGGTTCCATACTCAATAGAAATTATTATCCAGATATTCTCTTATCTGGATTGGCCTGATAAACATGTCCATTCTAGGAGAGCTTCACCGATAGCACATCCTAGTAGGGGGTAACCCTTACAAATATTGTCTTCCCGTACGGCAGGACGAGCGGCACCTTCATATGTCTCAAGGCTGCCTTAGGGTCATCCTTTATCGAGGATTCAGGATCAGGCTCCCCTAATTCCTGATCAAAGTTAGACTCAGAATCGGAATCACCGTCAGCTCCAACTCCGAATTCTTTTTCCAAGTTCTCTTCTGGCTTTTCTTTTGGATCCTCTTCCCAATCAATAGGTTTTTCTAATGTCTCAGGTTCCTCCTCCAACCGTGCATTTTGATTTTCATTTGCCATCTACAAAAATCAAAATTTTACTTAGTAACTAAAAATGCTCACTATAACCACTAATAAGTTATTTAACAAGCAGGCTTAAGGTTCCTCAAGGTCTCAAGGGTTTCTCAACCTATGCTCTGATACCAAGTTGTGACGCCCCAAAATTTAAGGACATCATAATAAGGTTTAGAACTTAAAACCAATTTTCTTAATCAAGAACTCCTCATCAATGTTGCTACTAAGTTTACCATAATCTATTAAATAACAACACAAAAATTAAAAATTCTTAAATTACAACTCCAATAAAACTTAAGACTTAGTCTTGGTACATGAAAGAAAGACACAAATACAAAAAAAAAAAAAAAAAAAAAAAAAAAAAAAAAAGAGAGAGAAAAACTAAAAATAAATTCAGAAAAAGGGTTCATGGAACTTGGGCACACTTCAAGCTAACTAAGGCTGAATGTCGCCTTCCAAGACCTCGATGTTTCCTTCAGTTTCTTCAGTACATGGCATAAAATGCCAGGGCAACGGGAATGCCAATGAGCGACGAGTTCAATAAGATACTACAACCCGAAAATACCCACCACGTTAACAATACTCACAATTAATGAATAATGTGTAGTAACAGAGTAACAAGCAGCGTTTAATAAACATAACAGGAATGCTATCAGTTGAAATAATAACAATAGATAATAAGAACAATGGCAAGTTAAAGCAGTATTTCATCATAAGGAAAATGCCAACTTTTCTTTTAAATTCACATAGATTTAGTTTATCAGGTAAATCTAAGTAACTCCCCGCGGAGCATTATTTCCACTCAACTGCTAAGCAATGGCCACGGGCAATTTTGACTCCCCTTGGTCAAATATTCAAATGTTACTTGCTGTAACTATCAATAATGCCCACGCACCAGGGTTACGTACCTGAGTCGTGACATCACGGTCTGCCCTAAGGGAACGGTCTATGTTGTGACACCCGCACCACCAACCTTATATCGCCTATACCAATAAGAGAAGAAATACCTTCCTGTGCCATGTTAGGGTTCGCAACTCACTTGCGCAAGACTCTAAACTGAGCTCACCCCATCACTTTTAAACTTTAATGCATCGGTTCAATTTCATGTTTTTTTACTTTGTCAAATTCACATTTTGATGCATGTACAAGTTTTAGTTTGCAAACCACAGTGACATAAGGTTCATATAGTACAACACAATCATGTATAGCAACCAAGGTAAATATTATAGAATGTCTTAGGAGACATCACAAAATTTCAATAAATCTCTCACACTTCTTCTTTTAAACACTGTATGGTCAGACTAAAAATAATGAAACCCATACCAAACGAAGTTCAATTATTACAATATTTTAACTGGTGCTAGTTCATTGAATTAGGAAAATATTTCACGAAGAATACTAAGGCTAAAAATGATTTTAAAATGGAGAAATAAAATTTGGAAGAAAACTGATTTTTGGGACAGTGAGTTAAGGTAACTTCTAACACAAGTGATCTGTGTTTGAAAAATAAAAAGGGGCATCAAATGGTGTCAAAAAGAGGCATGGTCAGAACGGCTTGCTAGATATTTGAGTTTAGAACATATTTCCAGAGAGTTTGAAGACTGAAAACGAATGGAAGATGGTCAAATAATTTTTCTAAGAAAATAGGACAGATTCTATCACATTTTAGTAAAACTACAATTTCTCCTTTTAGACTTATCCATTTTTTGTGAAATTGTCGGAAAATGAAATATAACTTTTATATCTAACTATCCCAAGTGGTCATGCAGAAAAATACCATTAGCATAGAAAATGGGACATGTTTGAAATCATTGTTTCTACTATGGGTAAATATTTACTTCGGTAAGAAAATGGTGTTCAATGATTTTATAAAAATTTACACGTATAGAACACCTATATATACTCCCAGTACCAACAGATTTTTGACACGAGTTATTTTCAATTTATTAAAGCATTTTACCTCTAATAAAAAATGAGACAGTGAAGAAAATATAAGTTTCGAGTAAAAGTGAACCAACTTTATCTCATTTTACCCCATGCAAAATTATTTCAAACAATGGAGAATATTTGAACACCTAAGAAGATAAAATCAATAGCTAAACCATATAATCTATACTTACAAGAAGGAATAGAAATCATATAATCATGAAATTATTATTCTATCAAAATGTGTACATGCATTCAGCTATGCTTGCTATGTGTATATTAACAATGCACACTCTTGCATATTTTTAATATATAGATTCAGTAAAAAAAAAAAATCTAAGGGAGGATAGAGGTTGAGAATTCCTACCTCAAGAGCTTTTACAAACTATTCTTAAGATTAGTTTTGAAATGGTGACTACTTCAATAAAAAAAAAATATCTAAGGGAGGATAGAGGTTGAGAATTCCTACCTCAAGAGCTTTTACAAACTATTCTTAAGATTAGTTTTGAAATGGTGACTACCAAGCACCCTCTCCTCTTCTTCTCTTTTTCTTTTCTTTTCCCCTCTCCTTTTCTTTTTCCTCAGCCGTGTGTATATAAATGAAAGGGCTGAGATAGTGTTCTATTTGTAGGAGTTTAGAGGCCTATTTTTATTTTTATTTTTTATTTTTTATTTTTTTCATCTTGGCTTGGGAAATATTACCTATATAGGCTTAAAGTATGTTTCTATGCATGCCTTGACAGCAGCCTCCTTAGCAAGAAAAGGCAACCAAAATGCTCTGCCCAAAAATCTGAATTTTCATTTTTTTTTTGAGTGTGTACAAAAAATAAAAATGAATGTATATATATAACCTAGTCACTAGATATTTTACTCCCTACTATCCTATAACTAACTTAGTTATTATTTGTGTAAATCATTTAGTTTTCGCAATTGTATTTAGACACAGAAATTTAATCACATAAAGATAAATAAATTTATTTAAAGGAGTTTAATATTGGTATTAATCATGATGCTATTAACATTATAATTTAATAATTTAATAATCACTATTAATTGACTTAATATTGTTATTAACAAACTAATTAATTGTCTAAAAATTCAGGTTCTTACAATTTTACCCTCTCAAATCTACTATATTTTCTAAAAGTAATGAAAAGTTCTAATAAACCAACTATCTCTTTATTTTTGGAGATGAACACTCAAAATAATATATCTGTTTCTAAGAGTCCTATATATATATACACTATATATATAACTAATGTAGCTGTATTGGTAAAAGTCTCCAAATATTCATTCCTAAATTCTCATAATTTTAAAGTTCTTTCTTTCCTACGTGGCAACCCTCTTTGATTGTCTTTCATGTTTTCAACCCTCTTTGATTGTCTTTCATGTTTTCTATTCTCCTCCATTTTCTATTTGTTTGATTAATTAAAATGAAAATTAATTTCATGGTTTATGGATAAAGATTTGAATTTCAAAATTCCTCCTATAGATAAACATATAAAAATTGATAAATAATTTATGAAAATTAATTTCATGGTCTACAGATAAAGATAAAAATTAAATAATTAATTTTAAAAAATTATTTTCATAACTTATAGATAATTTAAAATTTCATCCCATAAATGAACTTATAAAAATTGATAAATAACTTATAAAAATTAATTTCATGATCTACAAATACAGATAAAGGTTAAAAAATTGATTTAAAAAAATGAAATTACTCCCTTTTTTTGCCCTTCATTTTGTACTTTAATTAATTTCATTATAGATAAACATATAAAAATTCATAAATAATTTATGAAAAATTATTTCATGACCTATAGATAAAGATAAAAATTAAAAGAATTATTTAAAAAATTGATTTCATGACTTATAGATAAATAAACATATAAAAAAATTCATAAAAATTAATTTTGTGGTCTATAGATAAAGATAAAGATTAAATAATTGATTTACAAAAAATTAAAACAATAAAATTTAAAAAAAAAAGATATGATTTGTTAATCTGTATCTATCAAAAACATGTCTATCTAAATCTTTATTTTGATTTACTTATATTTTTTTCTCCTTCTATC